AAATATTTTAAAATTTAAAGATGTTTTATGCTAAATTACAAGACTCACCATTAAAGCATATGTTAACTTAAAAAATCCTTCCCAGGGGTGTGCCTACATCCCTTTACGGTCCTCAAATAAAACAAAAAACAGTCATGCTTGTTTAACCTTTAGCAGAAATAAGCATATACAATAATTTATAAGAAGAAAGTTATAGTAAGTGATTTCCAGTTAGGCTTTTATGCTGGTTAATGAATCTTCTGGCAAAAATGCCTAAACAAAGAGCTAATAATCATGAAATGAGGGAGAAAATAGATATTTCATAGATAATAGATTTGGACTGTTTTTTAAAAAAAGATAAGTCAGTTTTGTTGCTCTCTATAATCTAGAGGCAAAGGAAAAAATGAATACTCATTAAACTAAAGGTTCTATTGCAAAGAGTCAAATACAGCCTTATGATTTATAGCTCTTTTAATACAATGCATTTGGACTGCTTGCTTCCTTCCTTTTCCCCAGCCTGCATGGTGATGTAAATATATCACCCAATAGGTGGCTCATTTTACGAGGTGAATTTTTTAGTTTATGTAGTGTTGTTAGGGATCAGTTAAATTAATAAAGAAATGGATTGGCTTTTAAGGTCAAAACAGTAAAATTGTTATTTCTGCCTGATAGAATTTTCCAAATTGTGTCTAAAACCTAAGTTTTAAAATTGTTTCGTTTGTAGCTCATAATGTTCCATGTTTACTGAAGACATTGCACACATGGCCAATCAGGTAGCATTGAAAGTTTCAGCCATTGGGTGGCTGTCAATACTCTTACAAATACAAAGCCTCCACCAGGCAATTGAGTACCATCACCACAAAGGATACTTGAGTTCATGCAACTGTACGTACAAATTTAGAGCAGTCCATGCTGGGGGAAGAGCCACAGTGAAGATACAGTGGACACAGTTCAACTTATTCTCATTGTTTAAAAAGGAATTGTTAGCATCTTGCATAAACTAACCACTCAAAACACACTCTGAGTAATTTCAATTTTACGGATACAATATTTTAAACACCTTTTCCGCTATAAAATGCCCCAGCTAATTGCTATAGGATTATTTCAACTAACTTTTAGAAAACTGAATTAACAGAAGAATAAAACCTGAAAATCAGGGTAGATTTGATTTAAATCACTAGTCAGGAAGACTCGATTTAATCATGGATTCCTACATAAAAGTGCATTCTTGTTGGTTGTTATAACCTTAATACATATTCTTCACAACTCAGAGATAGATGTAGGTTTCATTTTTAGAAGGTACACACTATACATTTTTAAAGTGATCTGAAAAGTTTTCAGTTTAGTTTTACAGCTATATCAGAAAATGAATGATTGTTTGGTTATTTCATTTACCAAAGGTAATTGAAGCAGATATTTATGAAGTCATTGGGAGGTGAACTATCTCCAATTCAACAGATTCAATTCAACATTTAATCATTAATATTTGGAGGATTTTCTTGCCATGTTGTATTAGGAGGAAAACATCACCAGAAAGACATTTACATTGTTTTATTTAACTAAAACAACACTGTTATGTATTCTGGATTTTTCTCTTCAACAGCAAACATATAATATTTTAACAAAACAAGCATATGAATTTTTGAATTCAGTTAAACATTCAGGTTTTTTAAAATCAGGTTTGTTTTTGTTAAAATTGTTTTTAACTCAAATAGTTTAAAAAAAAATTAAAAAAACCCAACAACAATTATTATTAAATCGACTATGTCAGCCAGGTCATCATGAGAAACTTAAAATATTGGCTTCTGCAGCTAACTCAGTTGTCTTCAGCTTCATTTTCCCGTTTGTTCATAATCTGGAAAAGAAAAACAAGCTTTCCTGCTTTTTCGGGTCCCAAACGATTTCTCAATTTGGAATGAATTAGTTCAAAGGAAGAGAATATTCTTTCTACACCGGCAGAAGAAGCTACTGCTGTTAAAAGTGAGATTATCACTTCAACAGTCTCTGAATCCAAGTGCTTAAGTGACTTCCACCAGTCCACTGGTGTGACTTTCTTTAAAAACATCATCAGCAAACATATATTTCTTGAATGGTTCACCCTTAGCTCTGAAGTTTATTATAGTTGGCATTATGGAGGGATGATTGCTGGATGTCCATATCATAGCCAACTTCTCTTCTACAGCAGTTAAGGTTTACCCTGGTACTGAGTATTGAGAATATTTACAAGAAAATGAGATGGAGATAGTGCTTGTCCCATTCATTTTTTTTTAATGCTTGTAATTTAACTCTGTCATTGCATATTTCTCTTTTTAAGATCTCATTCAGTTCCTTCCAGATTTCAACAGCGTCAACAATAAAACAGCTATTTCCCTGCATTTTGTTCAAGGCTACAGAAATAGGCTTCAGGGCACTCAGCATGTGTTCAACATTTCTCTTCAGCCCAGTGTTGAGAACTTTGACTGTGACAGTGCCATCTGTTTTTTCACGATTTTGTTCACAAACTGTCATCAGATTAGGTCAGTCTTGATATACACCTCTACCCTGATATAATGCTACCTGATATAACACGCATTCGGATATAACGCGGTAAAGCAGCGCCCTGGGGATGGGGCTGCACGCTCTGGTGGATCAAAGCAAGTTCCATATAACGCGGTTTCACCTATAACATGGTAAGATTTTTTGGCTCCCGAGGACAGCGTTATATCGGGTTAGAGGTGTAGTCCTCAAAATAGTCCACTACTGAGTTCCATCACACGTCTTGTGGGAGAGTTAGCTTGGTTCCTCCCACTTTTTTCAGAGCAGCTGCTGCAAAATGGGTTGTTATGGAAGTATTTTGTAATTTCAACAACATTAGACTTTATTTCTGGGACACTGAAGTCTTTGGTTAGGATGTGCATCAAATGAGCACTGCAACTGTACGTTATTAGCTTGGGACTCTCTTCTAAATTTCTTCTCATCCTGGATACATTTGCAGTATTGTCTGTGACCAAGCTGCGTACTAGACATCTGAATTTTTTTTCACCGTTTGTTGTAGTTTTTACTGCTACTTCTTGTAAGTATTCTGCTGTATGTACGTTTCCTGTTGTATCAATTGTTTCTATAAGGAAGACATTCCCTTCTTCTGTTGTCACACAAGCACATACAACAGGATCATTGTGGACATTGCTCCACCCATCAAGACTCAGGTTAACAATTTTACCCACTAGACCTTTTGCACAGTGCTCAATTTCTCTTTCATGCACTTTATCCAGCAATTTGCCTGCGACATCTGCTCTATTGGGTGGACTGTATCCTGATCTTAATGAATGTACCATGTTAATGAAGTGTGGGTTTTCAATCATACAGAAAGGAGAGTTTGTTGCATAAACAAACTGGGCAATTTTTTCACCAATTACCTCTTTTTGTAATCTGCTTGTTCTTATCACAAATTTATCTATGGTGGTTTTTGGATGATGGAGTTTTTTTTTCTTTTTGCTACAGGTGATATACTGTGGCTATGTGACATACATGATGTGACTGAAACACTGTCATTGGCAGATAACTCTGAAACTATAGAAAATGATGGTGATCTTGAAGGTAGATACAGTAACTCCTCACTTAACGTTGTAGTTATGTTCCTGAAAAATGCGACTTTAAGTGAAACGATGTTAAACGAATCCAATTTCTCCATAAGAATTAATTATAAATACGGGGGATTAGGTTCCAGGGAAATTTTTTTGCCAGACAAAAGGCATTATATACATTTTAAACAAGAAATTTAATACAGGTATAAGTTTTAAACAGAGGAGGTGCCCCTGCCTTACCCTACACAGGCATAGCCCACTGGCACTGGAGATGAGGCAGGCAAGGAGGCTGAAGGTGTTGTAGGCTAGGAGAAGCATGTTGTGCAGCAGCGGCAGCTTCCCCTACTCTGCAAGCACCCGGGGGGTTCAACCCTCAGCCCGCCCACTCCCCCCCTTCCCCCAAGTCCCCATCCTTGACCTGCGTCTTCTCCCCCACACCGCCTCTCCCTTTACCTTGCATGCTGCGTCCTTGCTCCTCCCTCCCCTCCCTTCTAAACGCCGCAAGCCAGCTGATTGCCGCGGGCAGGAGGCAGGGGAGGGAGGGGAGAGTCCTCGCTCCTCCCTCCTGCCCGGGGCAATCAGCTTGCTTGCTGCGTTGGGGAGGGAGGGGGAGCCTGTGCGCCAAGTCCTCTCCCCCCCACCTCCAAAACGCCGCAAGCCAGCTAATTGCCACAGACAGGAGATAGGGGAAGGAGGGGGGAGGCGCGCTGAGGCCTCACTCCTCCTGCCTGGGGCAATCAGCTGTCTTGCAGTGTTTAGGAGGCGGGGTGGGGGGAGGAGCGAGAACTTGGCGTGCGGTCTCCTCTTTCCTCCCCCCCCACCTCCTGCCTGGGGCAATCAGCTGGCTTGCGGTGTTCCAGAGGGAGGGGAGCCTGCATGCCAAAACCTCGCTCCAGCGTCCAAAATGTAGCAAGTCAGCTGATTGTTGCGGGCGGGGGGAGGAGGGGGAAGGTCCTGATCCGCGGGGTCTGCCGGTGGACGGGAGGCGCTGTGGGGAGGAGGAGAGGGCGGGGGCGTAGGGTGGCTGCCAACTGTGGAGAAAGCAGGCAGCCAAATAACGTAAGAGTGGAGCATTGCACAATTTTAAACGAGCATGTTCCCTAATTGATCAGCAATGTAACAATGTTAACCGGTATGACTTTAAGTGAGGAGTTACTGTAGTCTTCAGAATCCTGTATGTTGAGGATGGAGTCTTCGAAACAAAATAAGTCAGTGCAGTTATTTAATTATTATTACCATACTTCTCATTTAGTATTACTGATTGCATTCACTGACAGTATTACTTTAAAGATGAAATTGTAAACAGAAGATCTGCCTATTTCAGCTATTTATTTTTTTATGACAGCTGCATGTGAAATGATAGTACCATAGAGTAACAACTACAGAATTCAAAAGAATAGTCCAGAAAGAAGACAGGCAGTCCTTAAAAAGAAGTATGAAATAAAAATGTTTACCAACCTGAAGATCCTGCGTGTTCAGACATGTTCCTTTCATCATCTTCAACACAGCTTCCTCCTGAGAAGTAACACTTCTTATGATGTTTCATTCGGGCAATCAGGCCTTGCATTTCTTTGTTGCACTGTTGGCATTTTGCATTCATGCCTGTCTTATCCACAGGTAGAGGAACTTCATTAAAATATTAACAAACTGGATCTCTTTTACAGCCTGCTGCCATTTATAGGTTTTCCCTTCTAGTGAGAGAATGGTATGGTAGATCTCAAGTCAATGAAGGCTACACTCAGAAAGCCTCAAGACTTCTGGAATATGCTGCTCAAACAGTTTCAGTTTCGTTTCTACGGCCTGTCTCTCCCTTCTCACATTTATCTCCAGACTTCTCCTTGTCCAGATCTATTCCGCCCCCAACAATTTCATTGAACTTTTTGAAACTTTGCACTTTTAGAGAGAGGTAAGGGATTGACTCTGTGTACACAAACTTGCAGAGGGACAATAGGGTTGAGGTTTGTTATTTCTCACCTCTATATATTTTTATTTATTTATTTAAAAACATTTTTGCTGTTAACAAACATGTTCTCTCTGGAGACACAAATCCACAGTATGAGAACTGCAAAAAAAAACGAAGCATCTCTGGTGGTATCTTCTAGACTGAGCACTGAGTCCCATTGGGTAGATAGAAAGATTAACCTAAATAATCTATACAGAAGCCCTTGAAACCCCATAAGATTGGGTCCCCAATCCATGAACTATTGGAACTCATTTACAAAACTTTTCTTAAACGTTACATGAATATATTGTCTCATACTATATAGAATTAGAATTTATAATCCCTATTCCATGATGAGATAGTTTTAATTAAGATACACTAGAGCTTAAAGATAGGTTTTTTCCTCAAAAAGCATTTTTTTATCAAACATGGATTTAAATAAAAACCAATTTTTTAAAAATAAAATTCATTGATTTTATCTGCCCTGCTGAAAATTAATGATGACCTACTTAAACTCCTTGACACTTCACTATACCAGCTGTTCTTCACAGCCAGGTCAAGTTACCTCCCTACTTCTCCCAGTAAACTTTCTTGCTGTTGTTTCTCTTTATTCCCACCTATAATCTACTTCTGGCTCCACACACTTTCAGTCAACAAATACCCCTGTTGCAGGCTTTCAATGGCCTCTACTTTCTGCTGCTTCCATGCCAGCAGCTTTCTGTTCCTTTGAGTTGGATGCAGATTTCTTAATGAAAGAACACCTTGCTCAGTAACTTTTTCTAGGTAGAGCAACCTTTCAGTTTTAGTGTAAAGCAGTCAATTTAGGCTTATGTTGGACAATTAAATAGTCTTCATTGGGAGGAATTTTTGCTAAGTAATTTCCAACTGTTGCAAATATGACATTTGGTATTAGATTTACACATTTTTACTGTCAAAATGCTAAGGTTTCGTTGTACTTTTCAGGATCTGCGTTAGCGGCTAATGTTTGTAAAAAGATCACAGGGCGTCTTACAAGCGCTATAGCCAAGCAGGAAGATGTGTCTGTCCAATTAGAGGCCTTGGATATCATGGCTGATATGCTGAGCAGGTAAGCATCCTTGTTACAAAATGGTGATAGAATGTAATTGTTAATGCTATGTTTTAACTGATTAAATCACTGTGAACTTGATTTTTCTAGTAATTAAATTTTAGGTGATTATAATTTAGGCTTTGTAAATGTGAAACAGTTGAGTAACTTGTTTCAAACGAGGAAAATTGAACACAAATGAAACTTTGTACCAGAATACAAATGTTACATTTAAAATATATTTAATTTAAACGTAGCTGATTAATCAAATAACTCATTATTTATCTTTTGAAGCTGTTGAGAACTTCTTTAGTTACCAGTTTCAGTTGTCACTATACTTTAAAGGTATATCTGAAAGCAGTTAATTAGTTTCTTAGTTTTTCCAAATAATTCTACTTGCACTTGATATATTTTCTATGGCATTTTGGGAATACTTGGAATAAGAATGATACAATAGAAGAAAGAAATCAGTTCTAGATTCAGTTGGTTTGAGTTTGTGTTTTGTCTGTTTTAAGGCAAGGAGGACTGCTTGTTAACTTCCACCCTTCAATTCTGACCTGTCTGCTCCCCCAGCTGACTAGTCCCAGGCTTGCTGTGAGGAAAAGAACCATCATTGCTCTTGGTCACCTGGTTATGAGTTGTGGCAATATAGTTTTTGTTGACCTCATTGAACATCTGTTGACAGAGCTGTCTAAAAATGATTCCATGTCAACAACTAGGACGTATATACAGTGTATTGCTGCTATCAGTAGGCAAGCAGGTCATAGAATAGGTAAGAGAATTTATATATTTTTCTCTCATTCTGCATGTTTTTAGATGTGAATGATCATTTTTAATTTTCCTTTTTCAGGTGAATATCTGGAGAAAATAATCCCTTTAGTGGTAAAATTTTGTAATGTAGATGATGATGAACTAAGAGAATATTGCATTCAAGCTTTTGAATCTTTTGTTAGGAGGTAAGCTACTTTTAAGGTATGTTTTTTTTTTTTTTCCTTCTTACAAGTTGACTGGTTGTCATTTGACTGACTGTATAAGAAGTCATTGCTAGTCCTTGAGCAATTGAAAAGAGTTGAGGTAAGCCACAAGAAATGTGTTCCTTTCCTGATGGAAGTGATGGTCTTTGTGGTGCAAAATACCTTTGCTGATTTTGAATCAGAGATCATACCTGAATTGCTAAAGCAGATTTTTCTATCACTATCTTGTAATTTAACTGATAATCAGTGTAATATGTAAACAGACTGGCACAATAGGCCATGATTTGCTATTCGTATATAGTGACAGATAAGAAAATTGTTTTTATAAATATAATGCTTATGGAAAGTGCTAGATTCCCATTAGTGGAGACAGAACGTTCTTATTTCCAAAGGTACATCATAAGATTCGATAGCAGTCAGATTAGAAGATCATAATGGTCCCTTCTTGCCGTAAAATCTATGAATATAAATCATAGGCAGCAGCAGAGCATACTTCCCTGTCCCTCTACTTTTGCATTCCCTGAAGAGGTGAGAGGATCTTCTTGTTTCCTTGACCTCTGCTTTGACAGATTGCAACAGCAATAATTGTCACAGTACCTTTTGGGAGCTGAATTATGAGAACTGAACTACAGGACCACAAAGTGGCTAGTGTACTACATTTATATTTTGTTTGATTCTATCTATGGAGGTGAAACTCTGTATTTTTTCCAATCTTCTAACTTACCCTGTGTCAGTTTGGCCTGAGTTCTTGTATAGCAAGTTTCAGATTGTACTGAATGTTTGTAACTGAGTTGAATTCTGAGAAAAAATATGATATGTAATGGGAATTCTGATAGTATTAGATTTGCTAGTGGAATCAGTACTAAAGCATATAGATAAACATTTCTTCTGTTAAAGAAGAATTGTTAATTAATTGTTCAATATTAATATTGTACGTTAAACTTAATTTGTTAAATTTATTATGCAGATGTCCTAAGGAAGTTTATCCTCATGTGTCTACCATTATAAACATTTGTCTTAAATACCTTACCTATGATCCTAATTACAATTATGATGATGAAGATGAAGATGAAAATGCGATGGATGCTGATGGTGGTGATGATGATGATCAAGGTATATTTTCTCTTGGTTTTGGGGAGAAGAGCTAGTGAGCCTAAATTGAGAGGAAATGGAAATGATCAATTCTATAAGTCTTAATTCAGGTCTTTCCAAAACTTAAATGATTGTATGGCATTTTCATGTTTTGCTCTTTTATTTTTGCGGGCATGGCCATTTACTACACTCAGTAAGGTGAACAGGATGACATTTTATATAGGTATTGAGTGCATCCATTGGCCTGTATTGTGAGTTTAGAGGGATTATAGTAAAGAATCTCATAACTGTCTAAAAGTACTTGAATGGTGTAAACATGAGGAAGGCATAGGAATTCTTTAGTGTGACATGACTAGAAGTTGAAATAAATTTAGAGAATGAATTTAAGATGTATATCAGGGAAAGTGCTGCTTCTTTGCATGAGATGAGTATTCTTTTTATTTGTATTACCATAGCATTTAGAGTCTTAGTCAGAGATAAAAAGAAAAGGAGTACTTGTGGCACCTTAGAGACTAACCAATTTATTTGAGCATGAGCTTTCGTGAGCTACAGCTCACTTCATCAGATGCATACCGTGGAAACTGCAGCAGACTTTATATACACACAGAGAATATGAAACAATACCTCCTCCCACCCCACTGTCCTGCTGGTAATAGCTTATCTAAAGTGATCATCAGGTGGGCCATTTCCAGCACAAATCCAGGTTTTCTCACCCTCCACCCCCCCACACAAATTCACTCTCCTGCTGGTGCTAGCCCATCCAAAGTGACAACTCTTTACATAATCAAGTCAGGCTATTTCCTGCATAAATCCAGGTTTTCTGGATGTGAGAAAACCTGGATTTATGCAGGAAATAGCCCGACTTGATTATGTAAAGAGTTGTCACTTTGGATGGGCTAGCACCAGCAGGAGAGTGAATTTGTGTGGGGGGGTGGAGGGTGAGAAAACCTGGATTTGTGCTGGAAATGGCCCACCTGATGATCACTTTAGATAAGCTATTACCAGCAGGACAGTGGGGTGGGAGGAGGTATTGTTTCATATTCTCTGTGTGTATATAAAGTCTGCTGCAGTTTCCACGGTATGCATCTGATGAAGTGAGCTGTAGCTCACGAAAGCTCATGCTCAGATAAATTGGTTAGTCTCTAAGGTGCCACAAGTACTCCTTTTCTTTTTGCGAATACAGACTAACACGGCTGTTACTCAGAAACTTAGTCAGAGATGAGGATCTCATGTTAGCTGCTGTACAAACACAGAACAAAAAGAATGTCCAGTTAGACTGGATAAAGCACCACAAAATATTGCGTAAAACAATGCTGCAGTTGTAGAGGTGTGGAGCAGAAGACTCAGAAGGTCTTAATACCACTTTGCTGTTTGACAAAGCTGTGAGCAGCAGCAGAGAGATGGAGAAGTCTGCAAGAGATAACGCCATCAGTTTACATTTGCAAAAAGAAAAGGAGTACTTGTGGCACCTTAGAGACTAATCAATTTATTTGAGCATGAGCTTTCGTGAGCTACAGCTCACTTCATCGGACGCCTACCGTGGAAACTGCAGCAGACATTATATACACACAGAGATCATGAAACAATACCTCCTCCCACCCCACTGTCCTGCTGGTAATAGCTTATCTAAAGTGATCATCAAGTTGGGCCATTTCCAGCACAAATCCAGGTTTTCTCACCCTCTACCCCCCCACACACAAACTCACTCTCCTGCTGGTGATAGCCCATCC